ATGATCAAATAGCATAGAAAAATAGAACATTCTTTTCTCTATCAGACTATATAAAAAGAAAGTTTCTTTAACCTTTCTATAAGGGATAAAAATACCACTGCCACTACTTTTGGTATGCCCTAAGTATGTATTTGCATTCTTTCCCTGTTACTTTCCTTCCTACCTTTTTCTTTTTTTATTGGCTAGACAGGACGATAATAATGGGGCTTTGCTCTCTTTTGGCCTGTTTTAGTTATAACTATTTGTCTCATCAATAAATAAATAAAGTTTAAAAAAGAAAAAATCTGTGACTTAGTATTTTGCTCATATCGTTGAATTTTATCGCCTAAGCTTTATTGTTTTCTCAAAAGAAGCGCCGTGAAATTCTCTACAAAAAATATTTTAACAGTTTTCTTATATACCGTAAAGATAAAAGAATATAGAAGCCATACTGCGAAGCTTCAATCTCGGTTACTTTGCAACACAAGAAACAATGCAAAAAACTTTTTAAGGACGGTGTCATGCATAAGCGTGAAATCACTTAAGTTCTGGTGCTCTGAAGTGTCGTCTCTTTTCCATCTATCATAGGTTCGGTTAATACGTTATTTTTCTGGCACAAAAGACAATAGTACGAAAATTTAATAAAAAAATGGAAATTTTATAGTTTTCACTGTGACACAGCAAACGAAAAGAAAATATTAGAATTTCTCTGTGAGGATGCAATAGAAGAATTATTCTAATTTAGGATACAGCAAACCCTATCTGAAAATGTTTGATTTTCACCGAGTTATAAAATTTTTTCTAACTGCGCCAAAACTGAAGTTGGAAAATGTTGATTTCGAGAAAAATCAATAAAAGAAAACAAATTCTCTCAGAACCGATTATAATTACGAAGAGTTTTAAGTATAGTCACTTGATAGAACTTTTTAAGGGCTACCAAATGACAATCTTCTTGTTTTTGTTTCGCAAAATATGAAGAACTAAAATTGAAAAAATTGTTTTTTTAGGTTGCAAAGTAATCGAGATTAAAGCTTCGCAGTATTTGTTCTATATTCTTTCATCTTTACGGTATATAGAAAACTGTTTAATATACTTTTTGTAGAGAATTTCACGGTGCATCTTTTGAGAAAATAAGAAAGCTTAAGGGATAAAATTTAACTGAGATATGAGCAAAATACTAAGTAAGAGATTTATTCCGAAGCACTCGTTATATTGTTACGTCTACAACTTTTAATTTCGCTATGTTAATAATTTTTAGGCGACATTCGTACGTTTTATTCAATATTCTGATTTAACGCACTTCTGTAGTCATGTATTGGTTTCTTCCACTCCTATACGTTCGAGTACGATCTGATTCTAATTCTTTTGTTCGTTTGCAAATAAACAACAGCAAGCAAATTGCCTTGATATTGAAGAAAATTATAAAGCGAAAAATGTCTGAATAGTCACCATGAAGCATGTTCTTTCATAGCTCGAGAGCAAAAAATAATCTTTACAATCGCTACTATCGTGCGAAGGTACGATGCATTTTGACAGTTTTTGGTTAAGTAGTGGATGAATTATGACATAGTGTTCGGATTTTCAGCATTTTGAAGTGCACATTTGAATTTATAGTTTGACAGAAAAATTAGTTTGAAACTCGTTTTCATATAAGATTTTGGAAGGATCTTTTGAAGGATCTTTTGAAGAATTCGAGTATCTGTGAATCCCGTCTGAGAGCGATGCTTATCATAAAGCGTTTGAAGATAGTCCTGGATGGACCTTTCGGATGAGAACAGTTCAGCCATGATAAAAATCAATGTGACTTACTAGACAATATGAGCACGGGCAGAAAGACAGAAAGAAAAAAAATAAGAGTTTTACAGGAGAACGGAAAGTTCGGCAAGACGTATATTTTTTTACACACAAACGGATGGCTAAATGTGCTCTCTTCAAAGTAAGAATGCATCGGGACTTTGACGTTCGGTGGTATAAGTGAATCATCGGATATCGTGGAAGCCCTAGGGTTAGTATCCAAGCATGAAAAAGTAAGCTGGTGGTGCCCGCTGCAACTAGCTATAAACAAATGTAAAAATATTAAAGTGGGTTAGCTGGCGCTGCAGCTAGCTACATAAACGTACACACCATGGAACGGGCGCTATCTCGGCTGCTTAAGTTAGTAACGAATTGGCTAACACGATTTTCAGCTAGTTGGAAATCGCATACAGTAACTTGGTTTTCCATGAAGGAGGCATTTTTCAGAGTTAAATCTAGAGATAATAGTATGTAAAATTTAATTTCCAACACTTTTCTGCCTTGGCACAAATTTGGAGAAGCTTCCTGCATAGTGAAAATGTGATGTTTTTAATTACTCTTGATTTTTCACTGTGAAGGAAGTTTTAATGAAAAAAACTAGGACAGTTTTTCACGAAAAAAAGTGCGATGTGCGAAACCGCATAGAATAGAAGATCATGGCCTTCTATTCTAGGGGTGGAGGGGAGGGGCGTTACTGTGGCGTAAGGAGAAGATTGCTAATCTCTATATATAGAGTAGGAATCTCTGCAGGAACCTCTTTTTCGGTTTCTGTTCCTTTCATTTTTTTCATTCAGTATATATATACCCGCTGCAACTAGTACTGAAGCGGGTTAACGGGTGTGTCCCGCTGCAGCTGGCTACATCCATAAATTTTACTCTTTTAGCTGGCTGCAGTCAATGGAGAAGCCGATGGTTCTTCAGCAAGTGCAGCTAGCTTATTTCTTATGAACCATGCTTGGGTATTCATGACGTGGGATAACCTTGAAACTGCATCGATCTTATGTAATCGATCACGGTGAGTCTTGAACCATTATTTGAAAAACAGTTTTCAATAAAAAAAACGATTTTTATGCTATTTTCACCAAACATTTTAAAATGCATAGCTCCTTTACAACTTAGACAAATAACTTCAGCCGAGTAAAATGAGATAATTTCTTATTTTATTCACGATATTTCCATTTTAACTGGTCATTATCGTTCTTCTTGTGTCATTTGGAAAAAAATTGTTATATCTTTCACGGGTTATTTTTTACCTGATAATCACCGGTTAAAGTCGAAATATTATGAATAAAGTAAGAAAAGATCTCATTTTACTCGCCTGCTATAATTCTGAAAATTTGTTTGAAAAGTTTACCCATTAGTTCGTCTCGTATTAATGTTTAGGTTCATCGAGTTAATGTGATTATAGAACTAAAAAACCAAGGAATAAATTTTTGATTCAAAAGTTTAAAAGGTTCGTGTTTGACTTTTTTAAAAATTTTGTGCACCTTTTCACATTAAACTCTTATGTTACGAATCGCCTGCCGCCAGGCTTTTTTCGACACTGACGATTGAAATGCTGTTTCGGACGGGAAACTGATGGTTGAAAAAAAGCAATAGGAAGTTTGCATCCGATTGGTAGTAACTAGTAGATGGGGGAAAGAACGTATTGTGTCATGCACTTATAGTACAGCAATGAAACAAGGATTATGCCTGTCTTCAATTATCCTTTGCAAAATCGAAACATTCTTTCCATAAAGTTTTGTATAGAATTTTGTCAATATTTATGATGGTGTCACAGTTTCGCCATTATTTTGACTAATGATGCCAAAAATTGATAGAACGAAATTTGACTTTTTATTAATAAATTAAAATTTTTCTTTAGTTTTTTTCACATCAACAGTTTACTGCTTTTACTACACAAATCTTGATTTTTTTTTCGATCAACTATTTTTATCTTCACCTGAAAAATATTAATTTTCCAAGTAAGAGAATAAGAATTGCTCGTCTTCCACAACAGAATAATGTATGTTTATGTTTCATGCATCTAAAGGTACTTTAAATTAGAAAAAAAATCATAACCTGACACACTTTCTTTGTCATTCAAATGTTATAAGAATGAAAAAAAGTAAAAAATATAAGTATCCCTTTGTTTCTATTACTTCTATACTGTTTCTATGTGCCTTCATCATATTTTACCATTCTTTTTTCTTCCTTTTTTCTTAAAAAGACATATATGTGTAACATTTCTATATAAAAACATTACATTACCCTTTTTGTATTTCATTTTATTATATTTTTTCTTTATAGTTGTATTATTCTTATAAAAAAAAGTAAAGTGAAAAAAAAAGATATGACTCACGGTCAATTACAAGTAACAATTGTCGAGGGACGAAAGTTAAAAGATAAAGATATTGTAGGCAAAGATGATGCTTATGTTGAATTATATTTGGATAAAGATTATAAACAACGAACAACGACAATAAAAGATACGAATAATCCAACATGGAATGAATCATTTACCTTGTAAATATTTTATCTATCTTTTTCTAACAATTCACTAATAATGATAATCTATTTTAGTAATCTACAAAAACATCAGGATGAATTACATTTACATGTTTACGATGATGATGTTGTCGGCCGAGATTGTATTGGTTCATGTAAAATTAATTTAAAGAAACATGTCTTTGGCAAAGGTGTCTACGATGATTGGGTAAAGTTACCTGCAGTTTTGGGTTTAGGAAGTCATGGCGAAATACACGTGATCATTCAACATACTGTATGTTCTCTCTAATCTGCATATTTAGTCACTTATGTCTATAAATGTTCTCTTTGTCTGTCTGTTTTAGCCTTAAATATGAACACTTTATACAAAACACATTACCAACTCGGCATTTATTTTTTCACTTTTTGAATAAATTATCTATCCTTGCTACGACTGATTTTTGATTTTGTCAAATTTTCTTCAAAAATAATTAATCTTATCAAATTCTTAGGGACAGTGTGTGTTTCTTTTAATCCACTTTCTTTTGGTGTGTGTCAGTATAAAATAATTTGGAATCTCACCTAGAAATCATTACTTTTTTGTTATATGCATGAGAAATTTACATTAAAGCTGAAAATTCTTTTGATTATTTTTTATTAAACTTTTTTGCTGTAGTTGTTTCTCTCACTATGAACCATCAGAAAAATGATATACTGAAGTGTAACAACAGAACTTATTCTAATTGTTTATTCAACAATTATTTTATCGTTTAATATTGTGTTTCTATTTTGGATCCCGTAGGTGGACAATAAAGGCTTCTCTCTTTTGACAATATTTCTTTTGTTAGTGAATATATCAATTGTTTAAAACTTATTGCTGTATTTGATCACCAAAAATTTCGATTACCAGCAAAATTTCTTTCTTTTATACTCAGTATTACTATTCATTCAATGACATAGTTATCTGATTGTAGAAGAAGATATGCAATAATATATTAGGTTGTTTTACGCGTATGTTAGTGACAAGTGAGTGTATAGGATTCAATCTCTAATCGAAAGGAGATAAAGCCTTCTGACCGCGATTTTTATTTATACTTTAGTGATTTTATTCAATCAGTAGTCTGGTGTTTCAACAAGCGGGAAATAGCGGACTCCTGTTGGCTCCTGAAGTCCAGGAGTCCGCTATTTCTCCCTTGTATTTCGATCAGGAAGGTTTTTCATTCTATCTCTTCTTTTTGACTAGCAACAAAAGCTAGATGAAAATGAGATTATTTATCGTATAAGAATCTATTAGACTAATGTAGAAAAGGTTGAAATTTTGTGATTTTCAAAATTATTCAAAGCTCATTTTTTTTCGTAAAAATAAAAGTTTTTCAACAATAAACCCAGCGTGAACAGTCAAATTATATTCGTTTTGTCGTGCATGAAACTTCTGCATTTACTAACAGTAAGCTCGTTGTTTCGATTAGCATTCAAGATGATCTAGACCATTTTGAATGATAAAAAATGATGAAAAATTCTGTAGGTAAAGAATTTTTTAGGATGCAGCGTGGATGGTGTTTGAATAACGTTTACACAGAAGTAGATAAGTAAGAAACTTCTTTAAATCGATGAACTAATCCGAATTAAATTGAAAAAATAAATGTTAGTTAATAAATGACTAATATTTTCTCTTAGTTATGAAAAAGGTTCACTAGTTTTATGTTTATCTGGTATGGAAAATTTACATCTATATACTTAATCCTTGCCTAAAGTTTTTTCGACTTACTGACTTTATTTGGCTGTGAAAAAATTAATTATTTAAAAAAATGATGCAAAGTTTTAGACTTACTAAGCGACCAAAACTGAATTTTTAAACTTCCAATGCAGCTCGTCTTGTAGCCCGTGAAAGTTTCTATCGGGTGAGGTATTGCTTAAATTTTTTTGTTTAATCGTTATTTTGTAAATGGGACTTTTTTAACTAGTAGAATAGCATAAACTAACGTTAATTAGCACTAATTAGTGAAAAATAGAAAGAAACAGAAATAAAAAGAACAAAACTTTTTACTTACTTCCTCGTAGTACCTATTTTCTACACATTTCTTTATCGATCTACGATTGAAGCAAGTTTTTGTGATAAATCAAGAATGGACAGGAAATGTTTTAATAATAGTCTTGTGCATAATACCATTTTTTTTAAAGCAATTAATACTTTTTCTCAGTCAAATAGTGTCAGTAAGCCGAAAAAACTTTAGGACATATACTTCGAAATATCCTCTATAAACCGTTAAAATACGAAGAAAATCTAAATGGGGGAACCACTCCCGTTAAACATCGTCGCATATATTCGTTCATTTTGAGAATTATGTGCTTCCGATGAATGTTGTGTTGACGATGAACCATTAGGAAATGTGGTGCTTGCTCCGCGCTGAACCAAATTGGATAAAAACTGGGGGCCAGATGTAAAACTTGTCGATGAATCCGACAGCGGGTTCCTTATAATTACACCTTCACTACTTTTTTGGCGTTGACATAATCAACGTGGTTTTTGTCTAAATTTTACTTTTCTCATTGGCGCCTAATTTACAACCAAATTAGAAAAATAAAATTTAGACAAAAACCACGTTGATTATGTCGACGCTAAAAAAGAAGTGAAGGTGTAATTATAAGGAACCCGCTGTCGGATTTACCGACAAATTTTGCACCTGGCGCCCAGTTTTTATCCAAATTGGTTCAGCGCGGAACAAGCACCAAATTTTCTAATGACATTAGCTCGTATAGTTGTGGTACTGTTTTCATCTCTCTTATATAAAAGCCTGTACCTTGTAAGCATATCAGAGAGTGTATGTTTTTTTTATTTACAAGTTATAGCTCTTGGGAAAAACCAATTTTCCTTTTTTTTATTTAGCATTACTAATTGGATGATTTGTTGAATATGTGAGTGATTTATGTGCATTCAACTTTGGTATCCATGATGTATTAAAACCAGACTGTGGTCCAAATTGAAAAGTATATCGTCCGTTCACTGGTGTCATAATACCTGATTTATAATACAATCGAAGTGCTCGAGCCATTTTATCGTATGTCATATTGCGAACAGTATACCTCCCCTTGACATTTTGCCACAGTGTCGCTATTTCTTGTGGTTTATGCAACTTGAATATACCTTTATTTATATTGATATACGATGCGTGATCTAGATAATGTGGTTTGTCCAATAGCAACCGAAGAAATTCTTGTAAGTATGGTCTTCGTCTTTTATGCGACACATAATCTTCTACCATCCATTCAGCTAGCTTTTTTGGCTCTATTGCATGTGCTAAAGTTGTTTCTAAAGACGGTGGTTCTGATGGTAATGTTGAGGGCGATGGAAGACCATCAGAAGAAGAATCTGCTGGAGAGAACGACATTGAAGGAGTAAAGTCATCTTTATCGACTACCTGTAAAACTTCATCTGTAAAGTCATTAGTAACGAATAAATCTGATGTTTCCGTTGATTTTATTTGTTTTTCAGGTTGATTTAGCAGCCATGAATTATTGAACGGATTATTACAAGAAAATATTTCTGGTGTTTTCAATTCTTCTAATGGTGTTTCGTCATCGGCAATGGTAAACTGCTCTGGGTAACAAAGCATAATATTTACCATAAATCTATTGCAAAGACTATCAATTGTATCTATCGTTGTTTGTTGAATATCAATAATATAGTATTAATAATTGTTGAGTTTTCCACTTACCAGTTAATTGAGTATTAATATACGAAATTGATTTGAATGCTGTTATCGATCTGTGTATGCGCACCGTCGAATTGACTGTCCAATATAATCTGTAACAAATTTTAATATATTCCAAATAGAATCCTAATGTATCACTGTAATCTTTAGAGATTGTTCTAGTAAATTTAAAATGAAAAAAAATAAAAATTGCAAAACATGTCGACATAAGAATTGAAGAGAAGAAAACGTTTTTATATACCTGTTCTATTAAGAGGAAAGGAAGGTTGCGAACAGCAACATATGAATCAGATTTAGTTGGTTTTTACCAAATTTGACAGTAAAAACCGACTATATCATGTAAAATACTCAAGTTATATAAAAAATTTTCTTATCTTTGGACAAAAAACTTGCCGAAGGTTGTTGCAAGTGAAGAATAAACTCATTTGAAGAAATCAAGACTCACCCTTACATGTGTACGATTTTTACTTCATAATCAAATAACAAAGCGTTAATATCTGAATGAAACTAGGGGGTGACCCACCTTAAAGTCATTATTCTTTCAAGTCATTCAACTTTAAAGGTTTTGTAAAAATAGAGTTTTCTTTATGTTCACGTCATTATTAACTAAAATTCATTTGACTCGCCTTGTGTGACTTACATCATCTTCTTAGGACTAAAGCTAATTATATATGTGTGAATTGACAACATTGGTCTCGGAAGTGTCCCTTTCATATGTCTGCAGGATAGTGCAACGAAAACATAGCAAAATAATGTCACTTATCTCGATCTGAATGTAATATGAGTGTATGTAGATGAAATAGATCCATCTTGTAATATGAGAAAGTCTCATCAAGTATAAGGTGCTGACAACTCAAAATCATAGCAAATCATTTTTCGTTCTTTTTTGTGCATAGCTGGATAGAGACCATGGAAGTAACTATAAGCTTTTCAAGAAATATTCTTCATGAAAAACATTCAAAATGGTGTAGTGGAATACTTCATTTTTCTGTAAAACAGGTATATTGGAAAAATCTGATAAGTTTTTGTTTTTTCGATATTTCTAGTCCCCCAAACTAATTTTTTCTTATTATAAGCTTTATTTATTCTTATTCCTCATGTGAAACTGAGTATAGAAAATACAGTTTCTATATTCAGTTTCATAAGAGGGATAAGAAAGAAAGATTTGCTATGATTTGGAATTGTCGGCACTTTACCATTTTCGCTCGATTGATATTGAGGATAGAGACTGTGGCGACAAATGAAAACCTCAAGGTGAAATTATAAGAAGCTCGCTGCTGGATTCACCTTGAAATTTTTCATATACTCCCTTAGTTTCATAAAGTTTGATCCAGCGCGGAGCTGGTACCTAATTTTCTAATGCGGCAAAAAAAACGAGTGACATAACCCCATCCTCTTTTCTTTGGAGTTAGTTTTGTTTGAATGGGAAAAAACAACGACAAATTTGATGTACATGCATTAAGGAAGACGTAGGCAATCACCAACTTTTCAGTGAAAAAGATATTTTGAATCCACTGAAGTTGAGTAAATTCTTCGTCGTTCTTTGGTGAACGCTTTCGTAGACTTTTTCTGTTAACTTTTTCCAATGTGCTTTGTTGAGTCAAACTGTTGGCTTATTTTATCGTTTTTTCATCGTTTATCCTCTTTGTTTGCACGACATAAACAGTTTTTCAAATTATTTCATACAGGTCATTTTAACGGTGAAACTCAATGACTTTGTCAGGTTTACATAGAACTCATGTAACTATATATTAATGATGATGTTGCTGAGTCTAGAGAAGACCATCAAAGTAGCCATAGATTCCTGGAGATTTAGTTTCGGAAGAATTGATTTTTAGGAGAGTTGTCATTTTTTCTGATAGTTTTCTTGTTTATTTCTATTCAGTGACTAAATGAAACTGCATGACATAAATTTACTGTTTTGCAATTTTTGGTTAGAAAAACAATATTAGAATGCATGTAATTGGTGTTGGTGTTTTCTACAAAATGTTTATATTAATGAGTGAAATTACACTCCGTTCAATGTATATATTGTTTTTAAGTTATTTATTTTCTCTTGAATACACAAAGAAAAGTTAATGAAAGGATCTTGGATATATCTTTGCTATTTTTGTACTGGTCACTAATTTTGTTTTGTATTGTCTGTTATTTCTTTAGAAGAACGCTGTCGACGATCAGTCTCTGCTATGATCATTGATTGTTTAACATTTTCAGGCAAACCAGGATTTAAACTTAATGTATACGGCAAAAGCATTTTTGGCATATCATTGAAATTGACTATACATTTTATAAACAATGAATCATTTTTAACATAACTATTCCCATCTAGTAATAATGGTAGTGGGAAATATTTTGGTATACCTGAGGCTATATTCATTTGTGTTTGAGGTTGTTGAAATGAGTTTGACTTGATATCCGGACGGAATGAATCGATAATGTGTCGCTGTTGATTTGATTGATCAAAAAGACAAAACGAAATTTTATATGGAAATGGCCATTTTAATAATTTTTCATCAAATTTGCCACGCATAATGACAAAAAATAATGATAGATGAGTTCGACGTGCGTTACCATCCCCATTCAGATACAATCTCATACACATTTTATAACCATTTCTTGAACTATAAAACGGTGGTGAATAAACACTCAGTTGTCGTTCGGATTGAGCATCTTGTATCAATGATGAAACATTTTCAACTTTCCAAAGATATGTACCATTGTATGAAGTTGATTGAACATAGTCCTTCAATCCATTTATCTCTTGTTGCAACAATTCTTGATTCAATCGCATATAGTTCATAGCGTTCATCTGTTGCTTCGCTTTACTAAATTGTTCGTGACTCTCATTCAATTCATTCTTTAATTTTAATATTTTTTCATTGATATTAACACATTTATTTTGAATTACTTCAATATCATTTGTCAAAATGGATACTGTTTCGTACAGCTGGTTCATTTCTTTTCCCGAGAGAGTCTTCAAAGAATTAACAGTGGTAGGAGGAACACGATTAACATTGTTTGTATTCATTGAATCGTGCAATGACATTACATGATGTTCAACCGACATCATTAAACATCTTTGATGTATCTCTGATGCAAAATGGTCTTCAAGTTTTGATGTAGGTATCTTTAAACCAAAAACATTAGTCAGTGCTGTACGTAAACTTTTATTTTTAAAGAGTATCGGTTTCTACACAAGACAGGCTAACTATCGGATATTCATTACAATTCGTGCTTTTGAAAAGTGCTTAGACTGTAACGACCCTGTGCACAATTTTATGGATTAGTCGCTAATGCCTGTACTTGTATTATCGAAATCCTCTGATAAACCAGCTTCACAGCATGAGTGAGTGATTTGCGAATTTCTTTCTATCTCTTCGCGAAAACATGGAACATTTCTTCATAAAATTCTATATCAGAAAACACGCTATGTCTGGCCTCTTTCTATTACAAAACTTTGTTATGAATCAACTACATTTACTGGTCGCTAGCAGACATCTGTCTAAAATATACATCTTCTTATCTTAGTGATATTTCAAAATTTGATGGTAGATTGTGCTGGAAGTATATGTCGTTATAATAAACGCCTCTCTATTAATAACACTCTAAGGTTTTTCAGTCCTATGATAGGGAAACCTGTCGCAAGTGATCACGAGTATATATAATTGAGCGAGTGATTGGAAATTATGAGTTCATCGAGAACAAAATATCTTGAAAACTTGATCTTAACATTTCCAGGTCGAAACTTTTCCTACTTGCTGTCTTTTCCATCAGAGATATAACTGGCAATGGGAGCGGCTAAGCCACGTTCTGTGTAGACTTTTGAGACTGGCTTTAGAGTAGAAGTTCTAAAAAAATTCTAGTCGATGTCGTTCTGAGTGACATTTTCTGATTGGAAAATGACTATTCATTTCAAAATAGAGTGTTCCGGATGTTTTCTGAATAACGTTTGATTAAAAAGAGCTAGAGACTTACAGCTCTCGGTGTTCGATAGAGCACACTTTACTAAATGTATCTAGGAAAAAATTACAAAGGGTCTAGTGGTTGGAACCAATTTCCAGTAATATATAGAAAATTCATTCTTTTTTCATACCCTTTCTCCTTGACCCACTATCACATTCTCTCTACGAACAGGCAGATATTGGCCTAGTTTTGGTTAGATTCTTGTAGAACTCTAATTGTAATTCTGCAAGAATTGGACCGCAACCTGCCTATTCGTAGAGAGAATCTATATAGAGTTATATATATCTATGCAGAGTTACATTAGTTCACACTTAAATTCCCTGTACAAATTGGCAGATTAGGCCCCAATCCTACTGTACTTCTACCAGATTCTGGTCAGAATCCTGTGTAAATCATACGGATAGACAGAAAAAAATCTTTACCGTCTCTCAGAAACCAATTTCGGTGCTATACTAAATGACAAAGTTGTTCAAAATCCTATGATCTACCACATATGTGAAAACTCGGAAAAAAAAGACTATTTTCAACGAGTAATGGGTTAACAATTAGATCATCGATAATTGAAACTTCTCATGTATATTATAAAATCCTCTTTCTATTGACGGAAAAAAAATCTATAAACATCATATCTAACGTTAACTATTTTACTTAGGCGAGAATTGGTGACAGCCTGGAAACTCTAAGTTTCGTAAAACTCGCTTCTGGGTAGACTTTCAAAAGTTTTCTAAAAACAAATATGTCGCAAGACTCAGCATGATGGATTACCCATAGTCCGTCCGTCTTCAAGGCTATCAATAGTCATTAAGTGCCATACTATGGCACTTAATCGCCGCCGGGCGGCGGACCGATTCTAGTCTAGGGGAAGCTCGAAAAATTTTTTCGAACAATGATGGAAGGAAATCAAATATCTGAGCTACCCCAAACCTTCCTCGTCCTTTTCTAGAGGAGGCTTGAGTTTTAGGAAAATTTTTACATCAGTAGATAGCTAAGAGTTCGCTCTATCTATCTGCAGAATACTGATTATCTCCGGTAAAAGGTGAGCCAAATATGCGCAAAATATCTGAAAAGTTTTAGGCGATTATCAAAATTATCCCATGTGACTCTAACGAAATAATGAAATGGGATGTCAAAAATATTAATTGTTTGATCTTAATTCTCACATGTTCGTAAGTGTTTTCTCAAAACATCATGAAACAGTTACATTCGTGCTTCATTCTTGCCGCGAAGGTTGCGCGTTCCGCGAAAAATTGGCGACCGCGCAGCGAAAAGTCTTCCGCGTCGCGCTCCAAGTCACGGCGCGTTCACGGTTCAGATTGTATCGCGCTCGCGCTTCAGATAAAACATTTATATGCGTTCCTATGAAGTTTCTTCGTTTGAAGAAAAATCTTATAAAAGTGTGGCAAGATGGATTACATAGCAGGAGCACATGCATCCATCTCTAAAAAACATTTCTTGCTGAGTTAAAGAAAACAGAAGAAGCAGATATTTATCGGTCGATGTTTTTAATTTCGTTTACGTGTGTATCCTACGTGTATTTGTCCTATGTAAATTTCTAACGAAGAAAAACATGCTTCATATAAATAGTCTATATACTTCTCTAAGATTGAAAGAATTTATATAGTACACATAGACTTGTATGGCAGCCACGTGTGCAACGACGTTACAAAGCTTTTCTTCTCATTTTAAATGAGACGAAAAGCAGTATCTGTTATATCAGACACTTATTTCTTCTACTTAGGTCATATCTGCTCTTTTAAGTTTCTCAAAGCAGAATTAAATCTAAGAACGAAATTAACTAATTTGCAAAGTAAGTACACAGCAGTGCCAATGAGTGAGAGAATATAAATTCCTCAATATAAATTTTGTTTCTTCAGGCATTTTGTGTAGATTAAAAAAGTCTTCTTTCTCCAAAAATGCACTATATCTACGGGCTTTTTCTATGTTCTTTCTCTCAGTCGACGTTTACTGTGCAAATATCTCAAAATAAAAATGCACAGAAGTGAGAAATACGTCAAAGGTTGCTGTTTTTATAACAATTGTGAGTATCCTCGATGTAAGATCGCGTTGTTGTTAGTGGCTCTCAGGATGTAGCGAAGATCAGTTCGGTTCTGTTTGATGCATAGAGGATTGGGGTTCAGCCATTCCGCCTCATTCACAGAATATCAGATTGGCTCTAATAACGAACTGATTTTAGCGATAATATCTATGGATATACATTCTCTGAAAGTTCAAGCGTGAATGTTTTCTTCACATACGGCAAACGTTACCTTATCAGTAGTATTCACCAGCGAGCCTAAAACGGCAACCACTCTCCCTTTTATTTTGAGATCAAACACCAGCTATATGTCGAACTGTAATTGAGAAATACATGAGAGAACTTAGAGAAATCTAAGACTGAAGCTGTTTTAGAAATAACAATCAAAAATCCGCTTTTCAAAAAAGCGGAAAAACTGGCGTACAACTTTCAACAACGTAAAAGAATGACGGCCTAAATCAAAAATTGGACTCTGTTACGCTGTTCCCATATGTCTTAGGTTCAATTTATGATCAATCCAAGCTCGCTAGCGCTTAATTTGGTGGAGAAATCTTTTCGACAGTGTTTAGCACGTAGGAAAAAGTCGCGTTTGAGATATAGTGGCGCCAAGATACAACACACGTTTAGGGCTCTTAATAAAACTGTCATAACTTTTGATTAAAGCATTGCTCACCAAACGATTTTGCACCTGGGATCCAATTTTATCTAATTTGGTTCAGCGAAGAGCAAGCACCAAATTTTCTAATGGGTGCGTCGCTGCTGCCTGTTTTAACCAAATTATTTGTACACTAGCTCCACAGCATGACTGAGTTTGAGCTCCACAGCACTGACTGAGTTATTTGCAAATATGAACGGGGAGAAAATAACAATAGTATGAACGCTATACTAGAGTATTCGAGCCTCTAGGTCCGTCCACCACAGAGAAAAAGTCGAAAATGTTGACATTGGAGCTTCCGCGATGCCAATATTTTCGAATAGTTTCAACGTGCTCATTATTGATCCCCCTTATATCGATCTTTCATTGAAATAGACTTCGACACGTCTCCTACATTACATGCAGGCATCTTAAAAGCACATTTTTGTTCCTGTTCACCTGTAAACAACATCCCCATTTCACCAAAGCACATTGAACAAAGTTTTTCGAATCTCTATGCATTTCATTTTGTTCAATCATCGTCCATGAACCGTCATTGCTATCTGAATCTGTATGAATTTGAGATTCCTGCCAATGAAACATTTATTAAAAGATTGTTTATTGGATACATACAGTGATTCAAATAATACAAAACGTTTGCACTATTAAAGACTCGTCGTGTCTGAGATATTGCGTTGATTTTGTACCTGACTCTCGTCTTTTGTGCCAATGATTTTTAAATCATCTTCAGAGGTTTGTACATGAGTCATTGATAGAATATATGTTAATAGTATAAAATCACTCGAGATAACACGATACTTGGTACTTTTTCAATACTTACAATCGATTTATTATATACTGCTCAACCGGGGAAGTAAATATTTATTTATTCACTGACGATGGAAGTGAGATGTTTATTCAAGCACGCAGAGAAACTATGTTATTTATAGACTATCTCATGAGAGAATAATGCGAAAGCTTTTTTCCAATATTTTTGTGAGGAAATGACACATGTTGGAAAAAACATGTTGAAAAAAAGCTTTCGCATTCGAGGAAGTATTAGTAATATGAATCTTGACATTCTTAGAATAAGCAAGTGTGCACATTATCAAATATTGGCTTGTAATGAGATAAGATAAATATTTATTTCCTCGGTTAAATAGCATGAATTCAATTCAAGTTTCAAATATTAATATTCGTACTGTGTATAACATGGTCAAATTACAAAAATAATTTTTGTTTCGTGTTTTTTTACTCTCGCCGTTAATATTTTACTGTGGGTATCCCGGTGAATTACGTTGCACGGCGCGAAGAGGGGGTACTGATACTTTTTGGACTCGGATTCTCCACTGTGGGTTCCATTTTTGACACATGTCTGTGTAATCCGTGTTTTCAATCTATTAGAATTAGTAGTAATGAAATTTTTGAATCTCCTTGAAGGCTGAAAGACTGTCAGATCTTGCTTGAGCTTCGAATTCAAAGCATACGCATCGAAATGTTTTGTATTAGACCGGCTCTTTTATTTTTTAATTTATTTTTAAAGAATTTTATTCTCTTTGATCATACAATTCTTAATTCTGATTCTTTTTTTCGTATATGAGCATACAACGCGTTTTCTCTTTAACGAACAAAATAGGGAAAAGACTAAATTATCGAATCTGCCCTAGCTGTAAATTAATTCTATATTCTGTCCATTAAGCTAATTAAAACTGGAATAATTAGACAGGACCCCTTCCCACTTCTTACACTAATTTGAAGTACACAAATTGTACTATATATCGCTATATATTTCAGAAAAGGTCCGTTTCAGTTTTTAAGATATATAGGTGTTAATATTAAAGATTAAAGGGAGTAAAATGGATGCGTTTCAATTTAATTTTGATGATTCCACTGGAAAAAATAAATGTAGATCTTGGGCGTCTTTGACTATGATCTTCCAAAAAATGATCAAGAAAGTTACGTTGATCATTTTGAATTCATACAATTTCTAAAATCAAAGTGAAATCAATATATTTCACTACCTTTAATCTGTGATATTGAGAGTTCTATATCTTATAAACTAAAAGAGAGCTTTTTCCAAAATATAGCTTGGCATAGAGTACAACTTGTGTACTTCAAACTGGCCGAAAAACTGGAGAGGGACACCTTCAAATTTATTAATTTTTTAATCTGGTAAGTTGCCAGAATATACTCTTATTTTATAACAAGTGCGATTTTCCTATCGGATAAAAACCTAAAATTTGTTTGTTTCTCCATTTCTTCCTTTATATCTGTCTCTCTATAGGGTGCATAGAAAGAAAAAAGATCAGAAAGAAAGAAAACTGACATAAAAGAGAAAAAAAAAGTGCGTCAGTCTTTGATGTCTGCGGTTGAATATGATGTCATATACTGTGAAAACCCACGGTGGAGAATCCAGATTCAAAAAGTGCTGGTACGCAGACGAGATTTTTGCACCGTACAACGTAACTTGTCGCGCTCATTCCAAATGTGTAAAAATCCCAAGACTCGCTTCTCTAGAAAAAAAACCGTCAAATTTTTATATGATGGAACGTTTGTTAGTAGTTTTTTGATTATTATTACTTACTTCCTCATGAAAATATTTCTCTAGTGGAAACGTCATAGGGTATGTGTTGATGAACGTAGAAAAGATTGTTTGTCGAGATACACTACTAGACTTTCTTGTTGATATTCCTGCAACATCTTGATGCAAGTGACATTCGAGTCAATGATTTTTTGTCGTATAGTACTCAAAAGAAAAAATGCGAGTACTTTTAGTTTTCTTCTTATTCATATGTATAAGAGAAACTAGTTCTTTTGACGTCAGCACGGGAGCATGTAAAGATTCAGTCGTCTCTCGACGCAAATCTTGTGAAATTTGAGTGAACTTTCGTGGACATCATTTCAGAATTTGTGAGTTATATATAGCACATGAATCGATAAACAATGCACCTCATCATTTCGGATATCAATTAATCTTAAGAAAACTGAAAAAAATGATGAAAAAATTAAAACAAGAATCTTGTCTAATCTATCAAAAGAAATTCAAAATACTGTTGTATGAAATGACAAGAAATAAATATCGACAAGAATGTGGATGAGTGTGGCTTTCACTGAAGAAAACAATCATGTGTTTAACAAAGAAAGGCAAAAAATTTATCAGTCAACCAGTTTTTTTCCTCTTATAGACTACATATCAAGAAGCAACAACCTTTTTTTCTCTTTCTTTCCTTATGGTACTTGCAGTTTTAGTTGACATCTGTTTGTTTGGTACACGAATCTTTCTTTTCTTTCTTTTCTTTCTATTCTTCAGCCAAGTTTGTATCTGAGCTGGTAAAAAATACTTTTCGCATACTACGGGAAAATAGCAACATAACGATTACACTGCATAATTTTTATATAAGTAAGTAGTTAAAATAGCCACATTTAGAAGTTTTCAACGTTCGATGTAGTTTTTAGCTGGCAATTCAAGATTTTACTTTTAAAAGAAAAACACTTCGTTACAAATACCACAATATTCTGTACAAATATCACTGATTCTTAATTTTTTGCAAAACACAGTCAATATAAAAATTATTTTTACTTTTTTTAATTTGTATTATCATCAATAATAACTGAAAATATGTCGGCATTCACACAAAATGATGATGGTAAACCGAAAATGAGATACAGGCAGTTAGGGAGCAGTGGTGTAAGAGTCAGTGAACTGTGCATGGGTATGTGTCTCGTTGAAAATTCCACAAAATCTGTTATTACTATTTTGCTCTATTCTTTAGGTGCTATGACATTTACTCTTAGTGGCAAAGGTGTTTGGGGTTTGCCGGCGACGGACGAAAAGACAAGCCACGCCATTTTAGATCGTTTTATTGAATTGGGAGGTAATTTCATTGATACTGCTAATGCCTATGTGGAATCTGAAGATGTTATTGGTACATGGTTGGCTAAAAAGCCAGCTGAATTTCGACAATCAATTATCATTGCGACGAAATTTTGCGGTGCGATTGGTAATTGTGGTCCGAATGATCGTGGTGCAAGTCGAAAACATATAATGGATTCCGTTGAAACAAGTTTGAAAAAATTACAGACAAAGTACATTGATTTATATCAAATTCATATGCCAGATAAAACCACAACGATACGAGAGACACTTCATGCACTCAACGATCTTATTCGTCAAGGAAAAGTTCATTACATTGGTTGCTCAAATTTCAACAGTTGGCAAATACAAAAAGCTGCCGATATTGCCAATAGCGAACATCTCAACGGATTCATTACACTTCAACAACAATATTCTCTATTATGCCGTAATTTAGAATGGGACCAATTGGATGTGTGTCAAAATGAAGGTTTAGGTATTCTTCCATGGTCACCATTAGCAGGTGGATGGCTATCTGGAAAATTTAACCGATCAAATCAAAAACCAGACGCTGATAGTCGTGTTGAATGGGCGGAGAAGATCGGTTGGACAGAAACATCGTGGTCGACAAAGGATGTTGATCAAACATGGAATATTATAGATGAATTGCGAGCTATATCGAAAGAGCTAAATGTTAGCGTGGCAGCCGTAGCTCTACGATGGTTAGTTCAACGACCTGGTGTAACATCGACCATCATAGGTATTTTCAGTCTACTTCCTTTTCTTTTTATTCTACTATTTAACGCTGTATTTTAGGTGCAAAAACACTTGATCAGTTGAATGATAATATGCAATGTGTCACATTTCAGTTGAGTGATGAACAAATGGCTCGATTAACAAAAGCATCAGACACACCGCTGCCATATCCGTTCAATATAATCGCCAAGTTCGGTGTGAAGTGATTTGATCATTCTTGATCAAATTTCACTGAATTCTAGTTCAGTTTTTTTATAGATTTTAGTTTGTTCTTTTATAATATGTCTTTTCATCACTGTATAAATCACGCGTTTCTATCATTGAGTTGTTTGATAACTAAACGTCTTTTACTGGAAGACTCGAAATAATCTCGAGATGAATAGTGAATATTATTCGATTTTGTTTTTAAGTTTATTAGCTAGTACTATTAAGACTATACATGAAAAACAAATTTTTTCTTCTGAGAACACGAAGTTTTAGCGCGAGTATTTTTGTCTTATTTTGCGTATTCAATCTACCAACATTATAAAAAAATATTAAAAACGTAGAAGAAATGACTTATCGATGTCAAAAGCAACCGCAATTCTACAACTACTATTGCTAATAATGACGATAACATTAACTAAAAGTTAGCTTAGTCATCACCGGTTAAGAACAACCAGGTTTTGAACAAGTTCGTAAACGCTTATATCTCTCTCGCGAAAAAAGTGTATTTTACAAAACAAAGGTTGCTCAACCCCGCTGAACTGTTTTTTATAAGCATCATTTTTATTGTCATTGCAAATCAGTTAATAAATTTCACAATTCTTATAATTATCATATTATTCGCAAACAAATTTATCTGGATAAATGCAACGGGTCCAAGCTATCTACAATATTCTTACTTTAAACTGCATTCAGTATACAAAATGTTCCTGTCAGTTCGTTTCCACTTTTCCGATCGAGAAATATGTCCGATCGGGAAACATGTTACCTTATGAACCATAAGTAGTCTAGAGCGCGGCCAGTTTTTACTCTGCTTCTTACGAGGGATCATTCTCAAGTGACCAACTCCGTTTTTCTTCGTTTATATGTGGATTGATAGAGTATTGAGATAGCCAAAAGACTAAAAGGATTCGGGTTCTTACTGCTGCCCGCGAAAGTTATTGAATTTTTTGAGTTTTTCCTTTAGAGTTTTAAAAGACTCAATATTTTAGTTCATAAAGTTTTCTTTCCTTTCTATGTATTCAAAGTTTTTTCTTATACATAGTCTGATAGAAGAAAGCCTTCTCTTCAAAATGAGACATGTCCGCAAGTCTCTTCTTTCGCATGGCAAAAATCGATAATCAAATCTTTAATTTTGATGACTCATTCTAATAACGATAATGAAAATGTCTAAGTCATGTCAGAAATGTATATTTCGTTCTTCTTCCATGTGACTGCACTGTGCAGTTCGATTGTGACATGTGTGCTTTTGCAACAATGCTTATTTACTATATTGTTTAATTTTGAAAAACCTCTTACTATTGTTTCTCTTTTCGGATTACTCTCAGATTTTGTCCTATTACAACAAATTAGAATGAACTGTGCACTTGTACTCCTCTGTTGTTTTCTTGGCTTGTTTATGTTTACCATTCGATGTTTGAGACAAGCATTACACTAGAATATTTAACTTCACCAAGTCTTTTGGATTTAAGTCTAATGATGCTTGGCGTTATGAATGATAGTCTGTTGAAACCTATTTGAAGTCATTTTTACTTTATGTCGTAGAAAATAAGACTTATTTATTTAACACTAGAAAGTCCGAAATTTTCGTGACCTAGAACGCCCAAAGCGGTCATTTTGACCATTACTATTTTTAAATTTTGACCGTTACTGTTTTTTTATTTTTAAAAATTGTATGCAGTTTGTTTTATTAAGGATAAAAATCACAAAACGGTCAAAATGACCGCTATGGGCGTTCTAGTGTAAACGTTTCTATATTTTATACACCTTCTTCGGTGGATAAATAACTAAGAAAACACACAATTGAGCGATAAGGAGTAAGGTGCCCGTAATTCAAAGTTTCCATGACTTTTTCTTTTTGATATGTTTATACGTGGTTGGATGCAGGACATTGAGCTGAATAAGAAAAGTTAGTTTAAGGACCGATTTTGCTCAGAATCATAGTGATTCTTATCACTATCCTGTTTTTACCTTTTAGATATTGTGAATTTTAGTTTTAACAACTACAATTTGTTTCTTATTTGATCTTCTGTCATTTTCCGTTTGCAGAATAAACTGTCATATGGAAACACGGAAAATCTACACTAGTTCTGCCTTAAAATTCACAATATCTAAAAAGTAAAAACAGGATAGTGATAAAAATCACTACGATTTCACTACTTTTCCTTTCTTCCACGGTCTTAAGTTATGAGTTCTGCTGATGTCAGGTGATTTTCCGGCTCGCGAATAGACTTCCGGTTCCCCTTTTCATCCATCTTTGTATGATTGGAAGCCATTGACTACATGTTATTTGTTTATTATTATATGCGTTAACCAATATATATATATATCGTTTCCAGCCTTTACGCCTATATTTATTCTGTTCTCTCCCATAGATAACATCAAATCTAGTGTGACATTCAACCGCAGATATAGTGTGTTTAATTCTAAATCGCCACAATCACCTGCTCGTAATGCTGGATCATATACGACTGATGTTCAACTTCTCTTCTGACATAGTCATACAAGGCAGCACCCTGACACTGAATTCCATATACCGATGGTACAGGTTGTTCCGCATTTTTTCTCCCCATTAGTTCCGCTTTATTAATTCTGGCAAATATATTTGGAGAACATTGAGAAAACGCTTTAATATTAAATGTTTTTAATTTCGATTTTATTCTTTCGTTCATTCCCTGAAGGTGCGAAAGTACCACCGTACCCTCATCTGCACCCTCCTTAGGTTTCTGATCATTTTTTGCTACATTTATATTAAGATGTAAATTTTAGCGTACTGTCTATATTATTTAAATGGATTTTCAAATTTTCAACTATGTCTTTGTTCATTTCTGATATTAAGATTAATTTGTTTTGCTTCCATAGTTGATATAAAATGTCTGATAACAAGAAATATGGCTAAGTTTCAACAGGCTCTTAAAGAATCCATAAATAAAGGACAAGATTGGACTCGAATGTATAATGCAATTGACCAGGCAATAACATTAATGCAAAAATACAATGAAGTTGATTGTAAAAAACGTATAATATCCATATCGGATGGTCCTAATACCAAGGGTACATTGATAACAAATAAAATAAAACAACGTGCATAACGTGGAAATATTATAATTGATGTTATGTCATTTCTAAACGAATATCATTTAAATGCTAATAAAAAAAAGACGATTAAATTATTAACGAAACGTTGTATTGAGACGCATACGTCTATGATTAGCGCAATTTTACGATTAACGGCGATTTGCAAAACTATCCACTAGGATTGCGATTCAGGGAGAAATCGCCCATTAATTGTGATTAACAGATAATTTTATTCGAAATCAAGATTTATCGTCGACATTTTTGCAAATCGCGACTAATCACTGAAATTTACGCGATTTTGACGCTATGGGCTTCTTTTCATCCGTTGAACATCATTTTCAGCCCCAACAGCTACTTCCACAGGTTCCTTTGAATAATTGAAGAGCTATTGTGGGTTTAGCGCTTTTCCCACTTTCCCATTCCTCTCGGGACCTTTGTTATAACTTCTTATCTTCTTGATTTCTTTCTTCCGTTCGTGTGTCTTTTTCCTTTTTTCATTTCCACCAGAATAAAATTTTCTTTCTGTAGTTTTTTTGTAGTTTATAAAGTAAAGCTGAGTGCCAGACTTTACCAAAAGCCTTTGAAAAATCAAGGAATACCAAAAGATTAAAATTTCCGCTGTCTAAATTCTTATTGATCTCAGGTATAAGATCTACTAGCTGATTGACTGTTGCATATTCCTGAATAAAACCGGATTAAAATGGGGTTAATAATTTATGTTTTTTAATATGCTCGTATAATTTATTGAAAACTAATCTTTCAAGAAGTTTTGACACGGTGGATAGCAAGCTAATAGATCTGTAATTGGTTGGAAGAGTGCTGTCGCCATCTTTAAATATAGGATGAATCGTTGTTAACTTCCATGGGTCGGGAAAAACACCATTTAGGAGAGAGAAGTTACAAACATGTGTAAGATAGTGAGCTTTAACAGGATCAGCTTCTAGAAGAATTCTAGATGTTATCTCCTGACTACTACCCATTTCAAAAAAGAAGGCCAGTCACTGTATGTCTAATAACTTTGCTAATCTGCACCGTAGAAAGTTTAATTAATAAAGCTTTGAACCCCGTGGTTTTCTGGAAGCCCCCTAGAGAACCTCAACACGTAAAACTCGAAGTTTGTAACTTTCTACGGTTCAATCCGTTTCAATAACGTGGTTAGAGTATTTTCTGAAAATTCGAGCCAGTTTGAATGTAAAATGACTGAATCACGTCAATTTGAAGTTCTATGGTTTATAAGCAAAAACTCGGTTTTTGGGAAATAAGCTCCTACCGGTCTCGACTTTCATTTTAACCCAAAACAAACATTGCCACGATAATCAGCACATTCGATTACCTATGTCTCAACACTTTTCCAGGTTCTCCACTGCGTCCGGACAAAGATAGACATGTCCACAGAAAACCTTTATAACTCCTGAACCACGAGAGACAGCGAGCAGGGACTAGTCTAGACCTGTAGAACTTGAGTTGGACGATCTTTCCGACATGTAGGAATTCAAAATTCGAAAATATTTTAGTGGCCGGAAAACGCTTACAAAATGCCCACGCAAGGTACACCACCTGAAAGTACTCGAAAAAACTTTTTCTCTTATTTTCTTCTTACCCCAAGATTTTAGTTTCAGCTAACGAAAACCGCAGGTCTCCAGCATCTTCCAGTGCAAAGTTATTAGACATACAGTGACTGGCCTTCTTTTTTGAAATGGATAGTAGTAGCTTTATTTGGATTAACTTTACTCAAGCACTTTTCTACCTCTTGAACCAATACTGTGAAAAGGTGTAGAATGAGGACTCATAATAAGTATGTTCTGAGGTATTACCTTATTGCAATCACTACATCCATACTGCAGATTGTCGCGAACTGTTCGTTTAAAATATTAGCCTTTGTGCTTTCTTCAGAATAGTCCGTTCCATTTTCGTCTTTTATTGCAGGAATACTTACAGATCGTGATCGTTTAAAAAGTGTCTTTACTAGTTTCCACCATGATTTATTCGATGCATTTGTGGTACGTACACGCAGAGATGTGCGCCGCCGCCACCGGTCATTTTTTACATGGCGCCGCCGTTGAAGGCGGACAAAAATTGTTGCGACTTCCGCCGCCGCCGCAGCCATGCCGTTAAATTTTCGCCGAGGGCGGAGAAAATTTTAACTATTTTTGTTAGTACGTTCTTACCTTAAGTATCTAGCGTGCAGCGCGTTTCTATCTTTTCGTATACGGCAACGTACAGATACAGCTGATGCATGAAGAACGTGCCAGATATGAAAGAGAACGTGGTTTTACTTAAATTATGGGACTCGCCGCCGATAATCAGTTTTTACACGCCGCCGCAGAAGGCCGAGGGCATTATCATAACCTCGCGCCGCCGCCGCCGAAGGCGCAGGAAAGCCTATTTTTTGAATAAGCGTTTTTCCTTCTGTAGAAAAAGTGCAAATTTTGTGTAAACCATGGCTGTGATTGTTCTGAAATAAGCGGGTTCTTGAAGGAATATATGTCTCAGTTGCTTGTGTTATATACGACTCGAAAATGTTAACTTTCTCGTTGATACTGGTTGAATTAAAAAATAGGACAGCAGTAGTATTTAGTAACTGAACGAGTTTATAACGAAAAAAGTTCCAGTCCATGGCTGAATAGTTATACATTTTTTGTGTGATTGAGGGTGAACGGTCTATATTTAGTGATAACTGGATTCTTACAATTTTATGGCCACAACTGACGCATAAACGATCGTCTACTTTTACACTCTTGATTATATTTTTAGAACTGGTAAAAACGAGATCAAGTGCTGTTGGACATTGAGCATTATGACTTACTCTTGTTGGTTCACGTCCTAGTTGCTTAAGGCTTTACGCAAAAGTCAAAAAGTTTTACCCGGCTACTGTAGAAGAATGTGTATTGCACCATTCCTTACAGTGTGCATTAAAGGCGCCTACTAAAAGAATAGCATCAAAACTGTTTGACTGTAAAATGTTGTAAATTATTTCACTTAGAAAGTGAATTTACGAGCAATCTACTCAGTATTTATACTAGGCGTGCGATAATTGATAGACAGTAAGACTCTTCCTGTTTTTGGTAGAATGGTCTCAAAAAACATAATTTAGGATCTTTATCGGATTTTGCCGCTATACTTCTCATATTCAGAACAAGTATTTCCATTGGGTCTGTCACACTAATACCAGCTGGTTTTTTACTCAATCTAGCCATGATCGTCTACACTCACGTGACTGATGTAATGTATGAACCCCGGTAACTCTATGAAACATGATAGCGAGAAGAAAAGGGAAGAATGCAGAGAAAAATAGTCAATGGACGGATTGGAACAAAACGGAAAATAGCAAATAAAGAAAAGAAGAACTACAACAATAGCGAGAACAGTGCGAGAACAATCAAATGTTTTCTGAATAAAATAAATAAAACAGAATTTCTGCGTATAAAGAGAATAAAAAACTTTCTGTAAATGTCTACAGTTCTCTGTTTGAAAACAGAGTACAGTTCTCTGTGCTTTTCATTGTTCGAGCCAATGTAGTAGATATTGTACTTTCTTATTTGTATAAGAAAAAAAGGTTTTCCTCGTTAGCTGATTTATATTTGCTCTATATGGAAGCTGGAGCTTCTCTTTGATTGTTAGTTATTTACGATGCTAAAACAAACTTCTTGTTGGAACATCCCTTATTGGTGTTTCCCAATCGGTTAAAGATTTTGTCGTGCATATTGAAATAACTGATTATTAAATGACGATAAGTGCTTATTGGTAAATACATTTTTATAACGATTGGTCTAGGAATATTTTTATTGCTAGTTGGTAGCCGATGTGATGCATAAATTGATTTTTCATACAATGAATGACCGATCGATTTAGCAATATCCACAGCAATTTTATCAGTATGTTCGTTTAATGTTTCGAAAATCCCAGGGATGATCAAATTTTTTCGTTTATTATATTGTTCTAATTCATTGTATCTCATTTCTAATTCGTCAACATACTCATAAAGCTCTGTTGCAGTGTTATCCAGTTCATCGACGGTTGATTGCAATTTTTCAATTTGTTTTTCACAGTGTACTATTTTTGATGAGACTAGAGTTGAGATTAATTAAACAATTATTGGTGATTACGTAATTTGACGATATAATTCACTAATGAGTGGACTGTTTGCTATTGAGTTCTGCAGATCACTAAGAAAATTCTGCGAAGATATCGTATCCTTGATGAGGGATGTTAATTGATGATTATCAGCTGGATTGATAGATGATGTCAATGATAATAAGGATGATGCAGCTGAATTACTCATTTCTTTTAATACGATATTCGTTCTTCTTAATTTTTTGCAGCCTGCACTCTTATGACTCATTCAGATACAAGGAAATATATGGTTTAGTAAGGGAACACAACTAACGTCCGTTCATCATGAACAAAATCAGATTACATTTGTCTAAGGTCTCACACAAATCGCGCTTTTGGAAATTCCGTCCGCGAAATTTTTGGAGTCCGAAACCGAGAATCGAACATCCCTAGTCTTGGACCCCCCTATAAAAAGTTCATAAACAGTTCTGCAAACCTATCTAGTTTTTCCCTTTAAGAGATGCCTCCGATTTTTGTGCTTCATTAGAACCGCCATTAAACGAGCTTTAAAAGTACATACCGCTTTTTTCCCATCTTACTTTGTCGCTGAGAAAGTTCATATTTTCTAAATCAGGAGCGCAAAAACCGGAATTTTGCCAGTAATTCTCCATTTTAGGATTCATCAAGACACAAGTTTTATGCAATAAAAATATCATATTCGGAATAACCGTCGCAAACTAAATCGAATGATATATTTTTCAAAACCTTTTCTTAACTTTCATTTTTTGTTGAAAATCAGCAACCTTTCAAAATGACAAGCAAACATGTACCCTCGCCCTCGCCAGCAACAGAAGAATACCTAAGTTTCTAGATAATCTGTTGCGACTTATCTTTGATAAATCGATCAAAACACGGAAAGTGTTATTCAAACAATGATGGACTGGGCCATCAACACATAGCCTTTCATACAAGCACTCTCTTCTGTGAATAGTTAGAAAATAGAATTTTCATACATTATGCAGTAGATGTGATATTTCACCTTTGTGTCCTTGTACTGCTTTCAATTATGGCTGTGAAAAGAGAGATTTCTCTCATTCCTTTCAATAACATAAAATAATTTTCTTTATTGCGAAAAACAAACACTCATGTAGGTTTATACCTTTTCCAAGAAAAAGAAGATTGTTTGTGTGGAACTGAAAATATATTTGTTTGATTTAATAAAAGTCACAGATGCGTGCTGAAAGTGTAACAACCAGTAGAAAGGTTTTGGGCAATCGTTGAAAGAAATAAGAAGTGCACACAGTTTTCTTTTCGATTTGCAGAACAACTTCAAGATATATGATGAAAACGGACCCTGCCGGTTGCAGAAATGGGAAAGGACCGAAAGCTGAATAGTAGGTTTGATAGAGAACAACAAATTGTTAACGATTTGCTATGTACCCATAATAAAATACAAGTCGATGACTGAACGTAAAAGAAAAAAGTGGTAGGACATTTTGTTTTCTAGCTAGTTAGTTGACTAGCAGCAAGCAAACAGGTACCCTCACGCCTCACCAGCAACAGCAGAAATATCTAAATTTCTAGATAATCTGTTGCGACCTATCTTTGATAAATCGATCAAAAAACGAAAAGTTTTATTCAAACAATGATGGACTGGGCCATCAAGACATAGCCTTTCATACAAACACGCTCTTCTGTGAATAGTTAGAAAATAGAATTTTCATACATTATACAGTAGATGGTGGTATTTCACCTCTGTGTTCTTGTACTGCTTTCAATTACAATACTTTCAATAGGTTCAATACTAGGTTCACATTTTGAAGCCGTGATAATGTCAAGGGTTGTTCCTGTTCGTTCAGCTCTAATCTGTTTGAATCCCACGTTTGACAAAAGCTGTTTGTACTCACTGGCACTACGTTCCGATCCATCTGTTATGATTAGCATATTTAGATCTTTCAGTGATGTGAACAAAGGCCCCATTTTATCATCATTCAGGTATGTTTCAATTATCAGAAGAGCTCCGTTCATTGACATTGTTTGATAAATTTTCTCTAATAATTAAGTAATCTTTTCTTCCTTCCATTCGTGTATAACGCGTGCTAATACATAAATATCGCCTTGAGGCAATTTATCTTCGAAAAAATCATCAGTTTCATACACGATTCTGTTTGCAACGGATGTACCAGCAACATATTCATTGAAATATTTTTCGACATTGTGCAAGTCAAATACAGTAGCATGGAGTTGGGGGCATTCGATGCAGGCAGTGACAGCAAATCGACCTGTGCCACCACCAAGGTCAACCAAACGTTTGTATTTACTCAAAGGAAATTATTTAACGATTTTTGGTGCACATGAACCCATAATGCCATGCATACCACTGACGAAATTTTTTTCTTTCTCTTCGCTCCCATAGTGGTTATCAGCTACATCTGTGAGATGACCACCGTATTCCTGGATCCATCTTTTTGTGCCTTCTGTGACAGCATCATCCAAATGTGCCCATAAGTTATACATGACACGGTCGGCATGGTTTACATAGCCAGTTATTGAATTTGGATGAGTGCTGACAAGATATTCACTTGCTGCTGTCGCATTCTGATACTTTCCATTTTCATATGTCAACAACTCTAATGCAACACAAGCATCGAGAAGTCGTCTTAAAATGTTTCTCTTCAAACGGTCTGACTTAGCAGTATCTGATTTTAAAAGTTTTGGATTTGCACGAAGTTTAGCAGCTAACTCTTCAGCTGTGCATGGTCCGGTGTTTAACTCATCAAATACACCTAATTTTACAGCAGTAAATAGAAGTTTTGAACGACGATAGCCTTCCACTATATCAATAATACGTGGTGCATCAGATGGTATGTATTGTGTAGCCATTTGTGTACTAAAACCAATGAGGAGCTACCATAGTGAGTCTTGACGAATGATTTATGTCTTCCTTTTTGTACTTTTTTTCTCGTAAAGAAACTTGTAGAAAGCAGTTTTTCTCTATTATGATTAATAAACGTAAACCTTTTGTTAGTTTTACTAGAAGCCAGTCATTGACAACGTTTACATTTTTGCTCTTGAAACTTCAAACATAGTTTGCTGTCAGGGTTATCGCCAATAACTCAAAAAATTGTTTATGCGGGAATTGAATGCGAAATGCGCCCTGAGTAGAAAAACACTTTTGACAGCAACATCATACTTTCTAATTGACGTAAGAGAAAAGTCTACGTTGAAGCTGAATAAATTACTGATTTTTGACTGTCAAGTGTCACACGTATTCACAGTTGTTAAACTGAAATAAGGTAATTTTGTCCACTCACTGCGGAACCATGAAATGTTAGCTTAGTTTTGGAAGCAGTCTTTCTTTTTGTTACAGATTACGGAAAAAGTAAAATGAGAGGTTTCCGGAAAAAGAATACCAGGCCGATCGATAGTGCGGAAAATGAGGAAGGCGGATAAGATCAATTTTTGGTTCCCAATATTTTTGAAAAAATCACATATTCGGAATTAGCGTCGACTGCGGTACCTGATTCGCTGAAAAACCGACTTTCGTTTTATCGAAAGATTTTCGCCCATGGTACCCCTGTGGAACATCGAAAAAGTTTTCCTTCAGATGTTTTTGAAAGAAACGTCATTAGGTGCAAAATTTTATGCTGATCACGAGTATCAGATCAAAAATCAGAAAAACATAAATCTTGACCGAAAAAATTGAGTTTTACTGGTAGATGGTGTTTTGGTGGCCTAATTGAATTAATATGGTTCTACCATCTTAGGATGATGTGGGATAACATTTAAAATCACCTGGATATACTCAAAACATCTAACCTTTCCGAATATCACCATAAAAGTCATTCAAATGTGGATTTTCATGGTGACAACTCACTTTAACCTCGAAAACCTTGGAAAACCATGTACTACATTCCGTAAGTGTTTCGCCATGGCTAAACGAATCGGGTTGCTAACATGAAATAATATGCAATATAGCTGGAAAATAATACAGGTAGAAGAACAGTTGAAATGTCAACATCGAGAGAAGAAGGGCTGCGCGATTACAATTATAAAATGTTCAGTTCAAACTGACATGACGCCAAGGGAGAAAGCACGGAATCCTGGAATCCCACGGAATCTAATGGAATCCAACGGAATCTCAAAGAATCTCACAGAATTCAATGGAATCCAAAGGAATCCAATGGAATCGAATGGAATCCAAAGGAATCCTAGAGAATCCTAAGGAATTCTGGAGAATCCTAAGGAATCTTAGAGAATCCTTGGAATCCAGGGGAATTCAGGATTCCAGGATTCCGTGCTTTCCCCCTTGCATGACTCTGACAATTTCAGAATTTTAGAATTCGACGTTCATATAAATTCAGCAAGAATCAGTAACTTTGAGTTTATCGAAGTCGTGCGCTTTATGCTTCATATGGTAGTTTAAACTTTGCATAGGTCTGTTTTAGGATTTTTCTTGTTGATAATAGAATATCGGTGTCAGGATCGATGTGTGTTGCCCGTCAAGTGGAACAAAGGAACATCGTGAAAACATTTAAAATGTTTAGTGATTTTGAAATGACAACGCTCAAGCCGGTCGCCAGCATCCAAAGAAGAAAATAAAGATATATGAAATTTTAGTTCGACAAATTTCACATGTCTTTATTTTCTTCTTGGATGCCGACGATCGGCTTGAGCGACCGTGAAACGTGTACGCTCACCCTCAATTTCGTTTATTCTTGCTTTTATTTAACAAACATGCTTAACTAACCTCCCTCCAACCATCTACTTTGCATGTAAAGTTCAGAATTCTAAAATTCTGAATTTCAAGAAAAATGGTCAGAAACCCTTGTAAAGTTGAATTTGGCATGTTAGTTTTTTCTGCCGTTTTTTTTTGAATTCCAACTTCTAAAAGACAATTATAAATTGTAATTCTAAGCGATAGGAACCATGCTGTTTTGAACTTTACAACTTGTAATTGTATTCGCGCACCTTTGAAGAGAAGGCATTTAATGAAAAGTAGTAGATGGAGAAACTACAAAACGAATCCAGGGCCGGTTGCTTTTTGTTTTTGAAGAAAAATCCTGATCATAGTTTTCCTAAAAACTGAAATAGCTGCGATGTATTTTTCTAGATTAACATACAATGACAAGCAAGTATGCTGACGATTCCCCAATTTGACGGTCTCCACAATTTCTCGGTAATCACGGCACAAGAACACTGTGTCTGATTCAATGTGTGAATGGAAAAGATATTCGTGCACATTCCTTTTTCCCAAATGAAAACGAAATTCTACTACTACCTGCCACACAGTTCGCTGTTAAACGTATCGAAGATCAAGGAGACGATTTGCATTTTGTAGAATTAGAAGAAATAGTAACTTCTCATCCTCTGCTTATGTCTCCGACTAAGGGTGTGCCTTCTTCAAAAGAACCATCCATTGAAGCAAAATTTGTAGCAGAATTGTTAACCACCAACAAAGCTTCGGAGAATTTTTTGATAAACATGACAGTAATCTCAAACGAAGATGCTGAATTACTTGGCAGTTCATTGAAGATGAACACGAGTGTCAGACGATTGTGGATTAGACACATTAAAGAAATATCACTCAAAGGAATCAAATAGATTATAAAATCTCTTGAAAATAATCAATTTGTTACCGACTTATTAATAACCGGTAGCGATAGCTATCCAATTAATATTAGTTCTGAATCACTTGCTCAGGTTTTAGCAAAGAATACAAAATTGAAACAAATATGGCTAGACTTTTGTAATCTTACAGATGCATGTATCGGTCACATATGCGAGGATCTCGAAGAAAATCGTACGGTAACTCTTTTGTCAGTAAAACACAATCATATAACGAGCAGAGGCTGCAAAGCAATTGTTAATGCTTTGCAAAAAAATCAGATATTAGAAGAACTGAATTTAAGTCATAACGAAATATCAGATAGTGGTCTTCTGGAATTAGTAAAAATATTTAGCAATAATAAAAAATTAGAAAGACTTGATTTACGCAATAATTTGATATCTGACCAAGGATGTGAAGTAATTGCAAACGTATTAAAGTCAATCACAAGCAGTTTGAAGAGACTCTATATTTCCGGAAATAACTTCAATATAAATGATCACGGCGTCCGAATACTTCGACAAATACTAGAAGCAAATTCAGTTCAGTCGGACGTCTGGTAAACATTGATCATGGTTAATGTATCGCAGTTATTCATTGTTTTCAGTCTAATGTATACGACTGAAACTCTGCAATGAATTTGTAGAGGGCTCATGTTGGCCTATGGAGGTTTCTATGTTCATATTCAAAATCAGTAATTTTGGTTATATATCGTCATACGTCTTCGAAAAGTGATCGGAAAGTTCACTGTTATTTTGACATCGCATAAAATTGATGCTGCTAGTACACAAGTTTAGTCTATACCGGGCTGTGTTTTAGGAAAAAATACAGTTTATTTCTTGAGCTATATGGGTGTGATATGCACAGCCAACTAATATAGCAAAAAACTACTTTTCGATGCCCTACTATCAGGACTTTCTCGCTTTTTCTTCGGGGCATGGTAGTTAGACAGAATGTTTGCGTTGTTAAAATAGAATGTTAGCTAGATAATATGTTCAAAGTTTTTCTCCAAAGTTAACAGAATATACAGTCATTTCCTAGTAGGTATCGTGCACATTTGAATGAGAATATAAAAGATCCTGTCGAATTTAAAAAGGCGAAGATACCAAAAATCTGAATAGTAGGTTCGATAGAAAATTTTATTGTGCATCTAACCCTATATAATTTTCTGTTTGAAACTATGATCGTTTCTAAAACAATAATTTTTTAAAACGTTTGACCGTTTACTGACATGAGATGAAAAACGTTCTTATTGTACTGTTTTGGAGAACGGTCCCTTTTTTTAGAGTCGAGACTTTTTTAACAACAGATACAACAGTTTTATTTCGAGAAAGCTATATTTAGCGTTTATAAGGTATGGTGGTGTACAGCTTCTTTTACCTAAGATCTTCTATACCTGGTGAGCCCATCGACTCTTCTTAGATAAGAGATAAAGCCAATATTATTATGTCGTTATGCTGGCCATAACATCTGCTCTTGAAACTGTTAAGATCAGACGATAGAAAAGTAAAGCATTGAAACACAAAGAACGAGTGTGAACGCACGATCAAATTTGTATTTTTTTATGAAGTGCGACAGGCGAAACAATAATTTGTTCTTTTCTCTTCTGTCCTGTCTTTATATCTTACCTTTTTTCTAACAAAATACAAATATATGACAAGCAAACACGTACCCTCGCCCTCGCCAGCAACAGAAGAATACCTAAGTTTCTAGATAATCTGTTGCGACTTATCTTTGATAAATCGATCAAAACACGGAAAGTGTTATTCAAACAATGATGGACTGGGCCATCAACNTTGGGCAATCGTTGAAAGAAATAAGAAGTGCACACAGTTTTCTTTTCGATTTGCAGAACAACTTCAAGATATATGATGAAAACGGACCCTGCCGATTGCAGAAATGGGAAAGGACCGAAAGCTGAATAGTAGGTTTGATAGAGAACAACAAATTGTTAACGATTTGCTATGTACCCATAATAAAATACAAGTCGATGACTGAACGTAAAAGAAAAAAGTGGTAGGACCTTTCGTTTTCGTTATATTAATAGTGACAAAGTCCGACTGTATCGGGTGTTGAAAATGCTGTGTGAAACAGTGAGACGGCGATCTTAATATGGAAATAAATGTCTGTCATTTAAAGCTGCTGTTATCGGAATAATCTTCTTCTTTTAATTATTTCCCATTAACAAAAAGAATTCTGTATTAGAACGCATTAAGACCTTCAGAACCTGTCATGGACCCAACTTTTTAAAGATCCGTAAGTTCTAGGTGAAAATCTGGCCGTGTCATCCATATAATTTTTCTTCCTCTTTTAAATAAAAGTTAAATTGTTGTTCTACGGATGACTCGGGCAATATTGGCATTCATATAATTGTTTTTTCTTTTGTGTAAGCTGCGGTTCAAAAAGGAATGAAAACGTTTTGTGCAGACGTCGTTTTGGTAATAGTTCAAAAACTCATTTGCCGCATTGACTCAGGAACACCCCAAAACTTCTTGAATGCGCTTATGGGTCTGTTTTAACCCTTTTATTTACCTGCGTTCCGAACTCAAGCCGCTTTTTTTAATTCTTAATTACTCAATAAAAACAATGAGTTTTAAATAAAGCTTTTACACAAAGAAAATTAATCAGATTATAATACTCAAATTCACGTAAATGTAATAAAAGGACATTTTTCTAAAACTTTTAATTTTTTAATAAGTTAGTTTTAGGACTCTCTGGGGTAAGCGTAACAGAATGTGACAAAAAAGTTCGATCAGTTTTCTCCAGCATAAACATGCTCTAAAGACACAAAAAGTGTTAGAATTTTACGCTCATTCCGATGTTTATTCAGAACTTTTGTAGTGCTTTGTTGTGGAACACTACAAAATACATCGAAACTTTCAAAAATTTTCTTCGATCGGCGAGAAAAGTCAGTTTTGTTGCCTAATAGGTTTTATGCAGTTTCTTCCGCCAGTACCAGCTCTCTCGAAAGTGTTCAAGAATCTTCTAGAGAGTGTACTGCTACTTTGGATAATGTGGAGTAAAAAATCAAAAATTTTCAGCGAATATCGAATGAATACAATATGAAAACGTTATAAAATCCTAACAGATTCTTATCTAACCTTGAAAAAACCTTAGACAGTATGATCTTAGTAAGATTTCGCTTACATTTCTTATCATCTTAGAATTTCCCGATCTCACAATTTTAATAAGATTTGTCTACGATCTTAGACAAATGTAAGCGAAATCTTATTAAGATCTTAGTAAGATTCGAGTAAGTTTTCCACTAGGGGATTTACACTGAATCTTAGATATTTATGAGAAAACACCTGAGTTTTTATTCTCATCCAAATATATTGTTGAAACTTTCCACATTGGGCGTGCAGTGTTTTATATCAAAATGCTACAACAATTCTGAAAACATATTCGGAATGAATGTAAAATTCTGATCCTAGTTCATATCTTCAGGACAAATTCATTTGATTTGATCAGGATATATTCCCCAATCGGGAAATACATGTTTCTTGAATGGGATATAATTCTTGGAAACGGACTGTCCGTCGATAAACTTTATTCTGTCAGAATACACGCGGAAAAATATTCCATTACAGTATTCTAAACTAAAACTATCGAAAAATACAAAATCAGTTTTGTACGAATAGGGATTCGAACACGTAAACTTAGCTTTGCAGTAAACTACAAAACTAAATCCACCGTTCTGTGTCTATAGAGGTTTCCGTTCGTTAAGATCAGCAAAATACTCAGAAAAACAACAAAAAGTGTCTCTAGAATCTGTTGTAAAATGTATGCAGCTTAACACTAGAACGTTGTGGAGAGCTTGAAAGCATCTCATTGTGTTTAGAAAAGTTCGTAATATAAGATTAAGTTATGGGTAAAATAAAAAGTTTACCGCTGGACTTCGAGAAGTTTAATATAGTTATTACTTTTATATTTCTATACGCTCTTTTGTCTCATTAAGAAGAACTGATGGTAGAGTCACAGTAATAAAAGATGCAGAATTTTTCAGTGAATGTAGTAGTATACTTGGCCTGACATTGCTCTAACTGATATTTGCTCTAGACTTTTAATATCCAAAACATAGAGAAAACATCTTCGGCTAGTGAAGTGACACTTTTTTATGTTTTTCTACCCTGTTCACTTAAAAAGTCAATGTTTC